AGCTCGGCAAACTACGCTGGGAAAAATTGGTTTTGGCTAGCTTTCCTTTGCGTGTTGTCAAAGTTGCATGTACTAGCCAAGCTGAGGAAAACACCCAGTCAGAGGAAATGGTGGTCTTGCACTTTGTGTCGCGGACCTCAAGCAATAGTTTTCCCTCCCTGGCAAAAATCCATTGTGCTTGCTGAGCTGGCTCTTGATCTTTGTACGAACGACCAAACTTATTGCTGGTGAACACGAACAAAAATTGTGTGAACCACAAAAGACCCACTGCAATCGCTCCAGTTCCACTAGCCAGAGCCTTCTCGCGCGCAGGTGGACACGTGGCTTCAGCTTTGGTCGCCCCTGGCTGGCCAGCGTGTTGGCTGGCTGGGGGCGTTAGGGCACAACGACGTCACCATAATTTCGTAATTTCGACGACGTCACTAAATTCAGTTTTTGAATTTAACGAAATTAACCGACGACCCAGGAATTATTTTATATTGCCCAGATAGATCCAAATAGGCAACACACAGCACATGCAGAGAAAAGCACTTGCACTCTGCATAGGGGGCGAGCCCAAACAGCAACGGCTGTTTGGTTTTTCTTTGTGTAGGCTGAACATACGCCCCGGTGTTCTGTGGCAACCCATCACTTCTGAATGTTGACAGGCCGGCGGGCCGGTGTTTCCCAGTAATTGGTTGAGGCAGAGTGGGAGCGCCACGATGCCATGCAGCTGGGCCTTCAGGAGCTGCGGGACGTCCATGGTTCCTGCCAGTTCGTTGCAAGGGTGCGAATGTGTGCGAGTGGTCTTTTACATGTTTTACAAGATGTTATATAGCGCAGAACACGAACAAACAACAGTTCATCCCACCATACTGTAGGCACTGTAGGTTGGGGATTGGTTTGGCTGATGCGAGGATGATGAGCTTTTTGCAGAACTCTTGTCGGCCATAGAAGAGGCCATCCCTGAGCTTGATCAGAAAGGGCTCTCCAGTGCCTTGGGCAGCCAGAAGTTGCCAGTGCGTTGGGCATGCGATGTGATGATGTGATGCCACGTGCATGCCAAGCTTGCTTTTAGCTTGTGCATAGTTTTCTGCAACGGCCGCCGGCAGGAGTTCTCATGGGCTTGGGTGACACTCACGAAGATCTGCCTTTTGGACACTCAACGACTCCACAGGAACACCTTCAACGGCTGTTCTCACTTGTGGAGGCTGCCTGTGCTAAGCTGCTTTCCGATTGGGAAGCTCCTGCAGCATCACTGGATGACAGGGATTTGGGATTTCCTTTGTTTGCACTGTCCCGGCTGGGAATTTACAACCAGGAGGTCTTTGACACTGCATCAAGGCTGCTAACTTCAAAGTTAAGTGGACAGCCACCTTTGCCAGTGCAGGGTTTGAGGCAGTGGCTGCTTGCCTGCAACAGCTTGAGCCATTCCCTGACGCAGCACGCAGAGGCCATTACAGCATATGAGCCGCCACAGCCGTGGACTAGCGAAGAGGATAGCCGACTGCATCAGATGGCTGGTGCCTTGGCTCATTTGCCTGATCCAAACCCACTACTGGCCAACGTTCTACAAGAGGTCATCCGCAGGCCAGCATCCCAACTACGTTCCAGCAAAGCTGTTGCCCTATACGGCTTACAGGTGGTTCGGCTTTTGATCGAAGCAGGCTGTGTGCCAAGCACGGTTTCATTCCCTGCAGAGCTTGGCAGAGAATTGGACCACTCTCTGGAACAAAAATCAAAGGTCGTTCGCCGTTGCTCCCATCTGGAAAACAAGGTTGGACATGTTTTGACCAATTGCGGCTTCGAGCCACGACATGATGTGGTGCCGCGTGCGGGCCTCTCTGCAGACTTCTTCTGTCACTGGGAGGCCAAAAAGATCAGCTTCTTCTTGGAGGTCAGGGGGAGAAAGGTCCTGTTGAATAATTACGGTCCAACCATAAATATGTCTACTTCATCGCAGCTTAACAAGGCCCTTTCCCTTTGAATGACAATCCTTTTGAATAACAATTTTTGCTTTCTCCAACGTTTTTCCGTGAAACGGATCTAGAAACACCACCGCGTCCAGAGGTGGATGGACCGAGCCACTTCTGCGTGCGGCCCTTTTGGCGTCGTCGCGGGCGAGCTGTACTGAAACAACGGGTCTTCGCCTCGCAGGGGTGGCCCTTGGTGTCGATCCCCTACTGGATCGCTGCACCCCCGGGCGCCTATGCTCGAAGAGGCGGTCCCCGAAAGATGCCAAGCTTGGAGCTGAACGAAGAGGAAGTGAAACAAACCATCGCAGAACAATTAGACACCTGGAGCTCATCGAACCCTCCACATGTGAGGCAATGGTGGGCAGAGAGCGTGTCTGGCCAAAAGGTGAGTGATATAGGCCAAACTGACCCAACATTGCAAGATGTCCCAACAGAAGCAAACGACAGATTGGTTGCGGTCCAAGAGCCACTCAACTTCTCCCGGGGTCGTGTGAAGCCTCGTTTTCCCAGGCCACAGCCTTGACCCTTCTGTTTGACCGACCACTCCCACCTAGCGCTCCAGCCGTGGCGGCGGCGTTGGGGGCTTGTGGAAAGAGTGGAGCCTGGCAGTCGGGGGCCTGGCTGCGGCAGGGGAGCGGCTGTTGTTTGGCTCTTGGCCTCTCACTGAGAAATTGCCAAGATGACGAAAAAACACTTGGTTCAGGGAAAGGCCGTGCTCCATGTTTGAAACGCGCTGAAGTCCAATTTCACCACAAAGGCATGCAGTATCCTGCCTGGAGAGCGTCGAGGCACCCTGTCAGTGATAGCGAGCATGCTGGATTGCATTGGAGCGCCTAAGTTTGATGTTCACTAGAGCATTCTGCAGCGTTTGCCAGCAAGGCCGGCAAAGGTGAGCTGAATGCAACTAGCCTCTTGGCGGCCTTTAGTGCACAAGTCCTGACGCTGAGCTGAATGCACTTGCATCGCGGCATTCTCAGCTCAGGCTTTGGAATTGCAGTGAATGCATGCGCTCGAAATGATGAGGCAGCCCCAGTCCAGCTTGCCAATCTCACCTCAAACACCAAGGCAAATACCTGCTGTAAACATAACATAGGAGAAGAAGATGGTGATGGGCGATAGGCGATACAGGTGGTGATAATATGTGACACTTGGAATTATCAAACACCATCAACGAGCAGGATTGAATGCACCAACAAGGACGGGCGACACGTGCTTGGACCCAAATGTCACAACCATTCGGACCATTCACCTTGGGGGTTTTGTTCAATGTGGTCCTCCGATCCACTTCTGCTTCTCTGAAGTCACCGATTCACAGGTCAATGCATCGCCGCCACCTCAAAGTGCTGGCATTGAGAATTGATCTCAGCACATGTCAACCTCTTGTGGAAGGAAGGAAGGAAGGAAGAACCCAACAAGTTATATAGCTGGGCATTCTTTAGTGCACTTGATTTAGCAAATTTAGCTTTTGCACAAATACCATCACGGAACAAACCCCGGAACAGAACTGCTGCTTTCCCGGCTGTATTCATATTATATGCCTTGCCTCCCCAGGCTTTCCCTCCTACGTAGAGCGCACTCTCGTGACTTGGAGTAAGCAGCTTAGATTGGAGACACTTCTTCAGTGGAAACAGGATAGACAGGCAATCACAAGGAGCTTGAAGAACAGCCTCTTGGTCAGGATGCTTTACTATTTAGCTGCTGTCTTGAGACTTGCCAAGCTGCTTCCCCTCCGGACTTGGCTCAAGTTTTGCTGGATTAAGGCGGATCTATGCAGATGTCACAGTCGGTCAGATTCCATTGGCAAGAAACCCGAACAAGTTGCACACTTGATTTGGAGCACGGGATGCGTGTTGACCTTCTGAGGGAAAAAGCATCCAAGAAACACCGTTGACAATCAATGGCGCCTCTTGACGATGTTGATGATGATGGTGCGGCTGACATTGATCCAGATGATGAGGGCGAGGAGAATAGCAGCTTGCAGAGGAAAGGCAATAAGGGACACGTAGATGGATTAATGGATTCTCCACCTTTGGATCCTTTGGCATACCCTTGACTAGTGGCATGCTGAAAAAGTGCACAGCAGGATTTGTTACTAGAATTGTTGCAGCCTTGGTCATTGGCCAGAGGTTGGCTTTTGCAATCTTTTGCCCAGTCTGCCAAGCAGCATGATTCTTAGGCTTTCCGGTGCCTTATAGCACTTCAGCTTCTCGCATGCCGCCCCTGGTGAGCTGGAGAGAATCCATACGTTGTGACGTATAGGGCAACCATTTCGTGAAGAGAAAAACAGCCCTGAGCAACACCGAAAGTTGATGCTCGCTCTTGGGAATCTCAGTAGAACTTAATTACTGACCCGTCTTCCTGTCCTTTGTGCTGCTCAAGAATGCATTTGAAAGGCCCTTCAAGTGTTTAAGGTCTTGGACTGCAACCAATCTTGCTAGGCTGCTGGGCCTTTAGAGGAAGGATTCATAAGGATTCAGGCTTTTTGTCTACCTTACTTATGGTGAGTGGTCACCAGTCCGGACCGATCTGAACCGGTGCTCCGTGAGTTGCAGGAGCGGCTCCCTGGATGTTGAGGAGCTGTCTGAACGCCTGCTGGGGCTCGAGGCACGCGTTCGTGACAGGAAGTTCTAACTAAGAAGTTCCAGGTGTTGAAATATGTTGAATTCTTGGATTTGAATATTGACTGTTTGATACTGTTTGCGCTTCTTTGGTGGAGTTCGCTTTCTCATGTCACCCGAAAACGAAAACAGTCGCACAGAAATAAGCCGGCCGGCCATGAAACCCAGACACTCGGCATCAGGTGGATGATGCAGAAGAGGAGGCTCGGGAAGCCTTAAACGAATCGACCGATGGAGCAACCGACGCAGATGTCCTTGCAGTGCTCCTGACTGTCTTCAAGGCGGACCGTGAAAGCGCCATTCATGGAGAGGATTCCTGGGAGAGACCACTGGAGTACTGCAAACGAATGTGCTCACTTTGTGATCGGAACTTCCTCAGTGGTGGTGGTCAACCCCGAGTGGATGACTTCCCAGCTCGCGTGGTGGCCAGTGTCTATGCCGAGTGTGGGCGAACCCATGCGTTAGCAGGGCAGATCTCCAGCGCACGTGACCTCTTTCAGAAGGCGCTGAACGTTTTTGCACTTCTCCCAGAGCCCAACATGGATGAGACCTTAGAGATCTCTGCTTGCCGGGGCTCTTTGGCGAGGGTCTTGCGGCGGGCTGGGCAGCTGAAAGGTGCACAGGATGAATTTCTGCAAGCCATGCAGCTGTTGGCAGATGTGCCGGACACCATTGAAGTGTCAGGCTTAGTGAGTGAGTATGCAGAGACGTTGGCATCTGCGGGAAATGAAGCTGTGGCTTCTCCAGACCTGCTGAACCTCATCAGCCAGCTGCTTGGCGTGTGGGGAGCCGGGAAGGGTGCAGCGGGCAGTTTGTGCTTGCAGGCATCATGAGTTCTTGCTTTGATGCTTTTGCTTGTTCTTGTGCGCGAAGGATGGTGGAGGAGAAGTTTGGTGAAGGGAGCGATGAGCACATCCAAGCCCTGCAGGAATTATCCGATGCATGCCTCAATGCTGGGAAGCAAGCCTTGGCTGCTCCGATCTTCATGAGCCTTGCAAGGCCAGACATCATTTGCCGATGCTCTCTTTCAACACCTTTATTTGTTCCAAGGTTTGGTTTGTTTAGTCCGTTTTGGGCAGTGGGCTGGGCGAGGCAGCTGCGAAGTTACTACGGGAGCAGCCGGCTTGATTCTTGGGCAGCCGCTGAAATCCAGGCCCCGAGTCACCACTTTAGTGGACTTGTATATATATATATATATCAAATATCAATATATATATATATATAACTATATTTATACATACACACTGTATATACTTATGTATTAGAGTATACTATAGTGACGATGTGTTTGTGTGAGTGTGTGTTTTTTGTTTTTTAAACGTTTGTTTCTTGCATTTTTTTTTTCAGGGTGCTGTGTGCATTGACACACACATATATACGTATATTTAACCAGGCTAGCGCCTGGCAGCCGCCGACCCCCAGGGAAGTGGATGGCCTAGGTTTAATGGGTTAAGAGTTTTGTCGAAAAATCGAGCACGGCAAATGGGTTAGCATTTTTGATTGAACATCTGGGAATCCAAAAGCCTCCACCGGCACACTTGCAGAATGCGAGCACAGCACTAGAAAAGAGCGTCGGCGCAAAGTAGGCAGAAGAGAGCACGGCAAATGGGTTAGCATTTTTCCCTGAAAATCTGGGAACCCAAAAGCCTCCACCGGCACGCTTGCAGAATGCGAGCACAGCAGTAGTGAAGAGCAGAAAAAGCTTGCACGTGCGGAGCGCATAGAGGAGAAACTCCTAGAAAAAACCCTCGAAAACACCAGTGGAAAATCTCAGGAAAGCACAGAACTTCCTAGAAAACCCATATAAAAGCCTAGAAAAGCCCTCGAAAAAGGTATGAGAAAATCTTACAAAAACCTTTGAAAATCCTAGAAGCCCAGCAGAAAACGTTGCAAAATCCAGGAAAAACCGAGGGCACTGGCAGGGACCAGGCCGCAACCGGCCCGGGATTCGAACCCAGGACTGTGCGGATGAGGGGCTCCAATCCCCAAACGAATACATTTGGAGAAATCTTGGACAAATCTTGGCTACTTTTCGTCACTGCAGCAAGGCTCCGGAGAGCCTTAATCATAGCCTTAGCCTTAATCAACAGTGACGCCTCATCCCACGAGTGGGGTCAGCCAAATGGGTTAGGATTTTTTTTTCGAAAAATTGGTGAACCCAAAAAACAACACGGAACCCCTAGAGACATGATCTGTTCCTGCATCACCAAAGTAGGCAGAAGAGAGCACGGCAAATGGGTTAGCATTTTTCTTTGAAAATCTGGGAGCCCAAAAAACAACACGGAGCCCCTAGACAACCACAGAACTACCTAGAAAAACCAGAGAAAATCCTGGAAAAACCCTCGCAAAAGGCATGAAAGGCATGAGTAAATCTTACAAAAGCCTTTGAACATCCTAGAAATCCAGCGGAAAACGTTAGAAAATCTAGGAAAAACCAAAGGCACTGGCAGGGACCAGGCCGCGACCAGCGCGGGATTCGAGCCCGGGGACCGTGCTTATTATCTCGCGCGGGTGGAGAGGGTGCCCCTTCCGGCCCGGGATTCGAACCCAGGACCGCGCTCCAATCCCCGAACCAATACATTTGGAGAAATCTTGGACAAACCTTTGCTACTTTTCGTCATTGCAACAAGGCTCCGGAGGGGTAGGGGAGGTATAGCCTTAATCATAGCCTTAGCCTTAGCCTTGGCCTTAATCATAGCCTTAGCCTTAATCAACAGTCACGCCTCATCCCACGAGTGGGGTCGGTGGATTATAGACAAATATATATATATATATATATATAATGTTTGTGATTTTTGTGTGATGCTTATTTTGGACAGATTTGATGAGTTTTGCATGGCTGAATGCTCCCGCTGACACTGGCCAGTTCTATGTGATCAATCGGTTCCCCTGTTCAGGCTGTTGAGGAAAAGGCCGCCCAAGCGCTAGAAACAAGCGCTGCAGAACATATGCAAGATGCAGATTTCGAGGCTCTGAAAACATTCAGTGCCGACGGAAATCCTTGCCGTGTATGTGTTTCGGCATGTTACATATGCAGATAGGATGTATAAGCAGCAGCGGATAGATGACCACGACTGCTACTACTACTACTACTACTACTACTTCTTCTACTACTACTACTACTACTACCCGTAGTTGCAGTAGTAGTAATTGTGGCTCAAGGAGCACAAGGTATGGGCGTGACATCGAGGTTTGTCTTCGGGCACGGAAGTGGTTTTTTCAAGACGATCTTTGGACACCTTGGTGTAAGTCCACAAACTCACGGAGAACATTTTACTGTATATAGATATGACATGTGTAGGTTTAGAATGATGCCACACACACACATGGTGTTGGGCCACTGCCGATTGTGGCATTGTCAAACCATAGGCAATCATGCTGCCAAGTTCTTGGCCATCTCTGACGAACATGCTGGAGTTTTGAACAGGTGCATTGCCATGATGCACGAACTTGGGTGGAGGACCTTGGACCTCAGGTGAGAATCTCGATGCCGAGTGCACTTTGCTGCAGGACTTTGTGATTTGCGGCAGTTCGTGAGGAGAGTGCAAGTGTATGCGAACGTTGGTGGCGAGGAGGGGAATCCACTTGTTTGCGTAGATGATCTACCGTAGATGGATTTGGGCTCAATGCAAACAGAGGAAGAGGGAGAAGACTGTCAGAATGGTCCACCATCACTTTGATGTGAGGTGGCATCCTTGTCAATGCATTTTATGGACATCCTCGTGTCGAAGAGGCTCAACAACGATGTGGAATTTGCAAACCCACAAGAACAAAGACAGCAGAGCGAGTGAATGGAACACTTGCTTTCAGCGCATGACCTTCAACGACCTTGTTAGAGAACCTTCCTGAAGGAGGACCGGCCCTTCAAGCCTTCGCACCTGCTTCCATCATTCGGTTTCTTCTTCGGGCCAAAGCCGAACCTTTTGGACGTGCTTTCGGAAGCGAATCGGCTGAATGTTGGGTGCCTCGGAGCCCGGCCAGTTGGGGGGCATCATTGGTGACCGGCGCCAACGGTGGTGCCTCAAAAGGACTGTTGCGAACCACCCCGGCAGGGCGATGGATGCTCAGACCATGTGTTGCGTCGCCTTCACCGGTGTCAACGTGACCGTGCAACATCGGTCTGAGACGATCAACGAGCAGCTCGGAGTTCAAGGAACCATAAGGAACCCCAATCATCCCGTCGTTCATGATCGTTGTCCATTTGATTCCATGTGGCTATTTTGTGGATATCAGCGGAAAGATTGGACGGTGTGCTTAAAGACATGTTGTCAATGTTGTGGACATTGAGCCGAGCCGAGTGCGGGAAGCAAGGTCAGGGAGTCGAGCAAGCCAACCATTGTGACAGAACTGGGCATCAAATGAGCAAGCCCGAAAGCAAGAGTACGACGGACGAACCGTGGCAAAAAACACCGAGAAGGAAAATGAATGAAGTTGACTTAACTGGCACTACTATCTGTGGAGAAGATCTTAAATCGATCCAGACGCCCATTAAAGTGACTTAGGTGGATGGGTATCCTGCTGTTTCGGGCAAGAGTGAGACAACTGGGGAGACTGGCATGTATCTGCTGGGTTCCGCCCGCGATCTTGGGGAGTACCGTAGAAGTACTTTTAATCACTGCTTGCAGCTGCTGGAATGGCAGTCTTGTGCGGATTTGAACTTGACTTGTGAAGAGTATAGACATGTTGCATTTTTCAGCTGCTTGAGCATTGACACATGCCACAAAAAGACCTTTCCAACTGCGCCATGATCCTGCAAATTGACTCCCATCGTAGGCAGCCGCAAGCATGTGGTCGTTGGCGATCCGCATGCGAGAGGCTTTGAATACCCAGGACGGTTCTGGTCGAGACAGACCTTCAATGACAGATTTGGAGGGAAGGGGTAGTCAAGGAGCACTTCTTATATACTGTAAGGAAGCTATTAGTAACAAGTGCATCGCTTCTAGTAACAGGTGCCTTACTAGTAGTAACAAGTGCCTTACTAGTAGTATAGGTTTAGGTCTAGGTTTAGGAACACATAGAGCTCCCTTGCCTCACAGCACTGGACCGCGCGTCAGGAGGAGGTGCTCTCCGAAATGCGCTCGTCCTTGGCCGCTTTGAAGCAGGCCGCAGCCATGAACGGCAGCGAAGCAGGCGGTGCGGCCAGTACACGTGAGCCCGCCGAGCCAGCAGAGACCGATCAGGATGGGAGTCGTGATCGGTGATGACGTGCCTCGGTTTTTCGGTGAGAGCGGAACTGGGAGAGATTTGGACGACAGATTAAGCGATCACAAAGACAGAGTGCAAGAATGTGCGAAGGATTTGCCGAACATCTGAGACTAGCAGAGTTGATCCTTGCAGGACAGCTTTTGCGAGGAGAACGCGACACCCGAAAGCTGGGACCAGTCAGAGCAGAAGGACACAGATCCAGCTTGAAGGTCAAGGATTAATTGCCTAGATTTACCTAGATTGGTGCTGAAAACGCACCAACTATGTATGTAAAAATATCAATGGAGTTCTTTTCCTTCCAAGATCTGTATAGATGTGCAATGATAATGATTCAATGATGTGCCCATGTGTTATACAAAAGTTATATATATGTGTGTATATATATGTATATATATATATTCAAGGTTGCTCTGTCTAATCTTTCGTTGGTGATGGGCAATTCCTTTTGCATTTGTGTGTACGCGTGCTATGCGATTTCATTGATTCGATGCGGTTCCATGTTTAATTCTAATTATTGGTTCTAATAGCTTCTTGTTCCTAGTAGTAAGGCCAGGAGCCCCTAGTAGCGTCCTTGTTCCTAGTAGCGATGCCCTTTGCTCCTAGTAGTGTCCTCTACCCGAGGAGGCGGTGGAAGCCACGCGGCCGAAGCCATGTTTGTCCCAGCCCCTTCAGAGTGCCTTGCGACCAGACTGGACACGAGCAACATCCACTGCTCCATCTGATGCGTGGGATTAGCCAGTGGGAAAAGAGTCGAACTTGAGTATCTTACCATGCTGCTTGCTAAATCAGCTCTGCTTGCTTACTGAAACTCAGTCTTCGGCAGGTGCGCCACCATTAGGCATTTCTGGGTGAATTGCTCTCCAGGCCTGGTTTGCTAGCCTACACCTCATTCCTCTCTGCGCTGGGGCCCTCAACTTTGGGCACTTTGCAACTACATGATGCAATTACATGGCGTGCCGGATTGCAAACGGACTTTCCTCCAATCCTCCAGAATCCAGACTCGATTCCAGCACTTCTGCTCAGCTTTCTTGCTCAAAGGTGCAGGCAGCATGGAAACTTGATTCAGACTGTTTGGCTTGGGCAAAGTCTTCCCCCCAAAAGTGCCTGAGTGACCACAGAGAGGCGGACAGAAGGCGAGAGAGAATCTCCACTTGCTTGGCGGGGTGACCCGAGTTTTCAGTCTATTTTTGATACACCAAAGCCTCTAAAACGCCATGGGTGATCTTGCTGACCTGGCACACGTGAGCTTTGTGTGGCTTGGCGAAGAGTTTTATGTTAATTACATCCATCCATCCATCCATCCATCCATCCATCCATACATACATACATACATAGCATACATACATACATACATGGCTCAAGCCGTCCAGCTGTTCAAGCCCGCTGCCAACCAAGACGGGCTAGTGCGAATAACCCCAGGCGAACATAGCCTCGACTACCCCAACGAGCTGGACAGGAACTAGCTCCACTAGAACACACTCTTTGCCCGTTATTACCGAGACCACCTACCTCGCTTTAACCGAGCTCTTTGGTACCTGGCAGTTTCTCGCTGGCCATCCACTTCCAACCCTTCAAGGGCACCTTGCTGAACGTGCACTACTCTCTCCAACCTCTTTGGGGAGATTGTCCACTACCACTTTGCCCGCTATCCCTTCAACACTGAAGAGGACATAGGCCAGTTCGAGATCGGTGAAGTGATCATGCAGTGGGGCCGCAGCTACATGACATGCCAGCACCAGAGCTGCAGCAACTGGATCTGGAGCGACAAACTCAGATCCGGAACGAAGTGCAGAAAATGTGGTACATGGTGGCCTGACAATACTACCCGAACGGGGAAAGGAAAAGGATATGGACGACCGGCCAATAAACACACCTCCAATCAAACATGGTTGGGTGCTCCACCTGGGCTCACGAAGATCAGACCTCTGAAGAAGAACAAAATGCAGCAAGAAGCGACTGAGCTACTCAATAGCAGCTGGTCTTCACTGCCGGAGGAGACACAGGTGAAGCTCCAGGCCCTTGGCATAGGACCAACCAAACCTGATGAACCAGAGCTGACCGACATATTGAAGAACCACATGGACGCTTTGCCGCCCCAGGTCCAACAGATCGTGACTAAGCTCACGGCACCGGAACCGTGCACTGAGCGGGAGATTGCAACCAAGCTCAAAGGCCAGGTGACCGACCTCAAAGCCATGTCCATACGGAAAAACCAGTTGCAGGAGAAGATCGATGGAGTCAAGGCTCAATATGCCTCCCTTCTCTCTGACATGCAAGAATTGTAGGCCAAACTGGCAGAAGGACAAAAGACACTCCACAAGCTCTCCCGGGACTACATGACAGCCATCAACCAAACGCCAGCACCAGCTGAATTGGCAGGCGGCAATGGGGAACCTGAACAGATCCCCATGGCAGTAGAATCTTTCGTGCACAGCCTGGGCATTTCGCTCACAGAAGAGCAAAAGCATCAGCTGCACGGGCTCCTCAAGCGGCCAAATCAGGACCCGGATGACCCAACAAAAAGGAGGAAAACTGATGGCATTGCACCACCGCCACCTGGACACTGTGGGTAACAGGGGCACCACCGAACAGACGATGGGGTGGCTTTTTCCGGTCCCGGAGGATGACACATGGTCATGTGAAGGAACGGACGAAACCAGTTTGGGGACTCTTGTCGAACAAGACACCAGTTTTGCAGAAGAGCCACAGGATAACAATCCACACACCAGGTGGACCACCAATGACGGCTCCAGCAGAGACATACTTCGGATCACTTGTGAAGGGGACATTTCACACACGACTTTGGGGACATCCACGAACCAGAGCTCACGACATACCACAAGGGATTGCCGTGCTGCTTCAGGCTCAACAGCATTTTCTTTTATCAGTGCATCCAGTGTTGGGGAGTTAACACGGAAAACACTGGCTGAGCAACCTTTTGACAGCTCAACACACCAAGGGAACAATGTTGCAGGGGAAGAGCAACAAACTCCAAGTTCTTGTCAAACCCAACAAGGGTTACCAATTTTGCATCGTTCCACCGAAGCTCCGGCGGCACCACATGGGCCCTGGTTGACGATCACAGGAGGAGCTTCGACCACACCCACCTCCTGGATCGACAGCGGAGAGCAGCCACCCTTCATGAGCTCCCATTTCTACGCCTCCACAACAGATTTGCTCCTCCAAAACTTGAGCATGGTCGTGGGCAATCCAAGCGCACGGTGCTTTGCAAATGCACCGTGGAGAGCATTTTGCTGGATGTGCGCCTACCTGGCCGAATTCAACCGAGATCCATGGGGAGTCATCAAAGACGCCGTGCAAACCTCATTGGAGCTCTCAGAACCTGTTGACATTCAAAGGCTGCCTGGCCTGCCTCAACTATGGGAGAAACACAACCTCAACATTGAGGGTGATGCAGCTCACTTTGTGCATTCTCTGTGGGTTCATTCACAGACCCGAGTCCTGCAGTACCGCCACGCCGAAATCAAAGAAGGAGGGTACGTCACGGAGCACATCCAAGTTCCACTCATCGTGGACTACCCTGATGAATACCTTGATGAGATCACATGGCAAGAGCTCATGAACTGTTGGGCCAACCACGGCCTGGGCCAATATCTTGGTGATGACAAGCTGGTCCACATCAGTCACATCAACAGAGCAGTCACCATCGAAGGCACTGTGACCAAGCACAAGAGGGCCCTCAACCCTCACGGGCCATACACCGTCCCACGCTCACTGGACGGATTCTCCAGAGCCAGCGCCGAGTACATCCCAATGGCATACATATGCCACAGAGGCCCTACCCACGAGACCGGGCACTACTACGCCATTTTGGTGTACAAAGACCTCATGTGGATTGCGGACGATGGAGCCACACCCAAGGTCTTGCCCTTTTTGACGCCCCAAATTGCGGGCCAGATAGTCCAAGTCTGGGGCATCCAGACCTCTGCACTGATCACACCAAGGCAAACAGCACTGGCACTGCCGCCTCCTGAAACTCCAGACTACGATCCACCTCTCCACGGCACACCGCCCAAGAAAGCCAGACGCACCCAGGAGAACATGCGCCTCCATGTCGGCAACATCACAGCCTTTGGCAAGAGCACCCTTGATTGGTACTGGACACGAGATAATGAAATCTACATCATGGTTGAGACTCACCTGGATCGGCAAAAGCACCAAACCATGTGTCAATACTTTGAAGTCAGAGGCAGACATGCTTTTGGATACCCAGCCCATGCCAATAGCAACAATGAGGGCACCCATGGAGGCATCATGGTCATCCATGACACTGCACACGGCCTCACCCAACTGGAAGCCTTTGACATTGAAGGCTGCGGGTACCAGGCCTTCCTCTGGGAGGCAAAGGCCCGCACCATCCTGGTGGTCGCAGTTTACTTCAAAACCAATGAGACCATCCAGGGAGCCACAAATGCCCAAATTTTGGCCCGCATCCTGGCTCTCCTTGCCACAACTCGGGAATTCATCCTGGTTGGCGACTGGAACAACCACCCGGAGCAATTCCAGGGCACGGTCCTTAGCTCCAAGTTCCATTGGCAAATTCTTGCACCGGATGCCACTTTGCTGAACGGCAACACGGTCGACTACGCCATAATGCATCAGACCTTGGCAGCCTGTACCTCCATGACAACCGAGTGGGCTGTCCCCTGGAGACCACATTGTCTCCTCACATATGCATTGGAACTCGAAGATGATTTCCGGTTGTACCACCAACTCCGGACTTTCCCACCGCTGCCCAATGTCCCCGACATTGGATTTCGAGCTTGGAGCACATACGTCACTCAGGTCGAACAGCTCCAACTGTACGAGAGCACACCAAACCACGGAGCCACAGGCCTAGCTGATTGGGCTTCGATTACCGAACAATACCTACTGCAGCAACATCCATGGGCAATCCAGGGCAGAGCTTCCAGCTTGGCCACCCAACACCTCCCATTGGTTCCCGCGAAAGCCGGAGGCATCTGGAAAAAGGGGAAGGCAGCCTTTTGGGAGCAGATCCAAGCCCTGATCCAGAACCAACCAGCCAAGCTCCAGGGGCCATCCATGGTCTCAACAATTCCCTCCAGCAAGTCCAACACCACTGGCTGGGCGACCAGACATGGGGGCAATTCCTTGACACCCACCAACACTGGCTGCAATACCGTGACAACCGCACTTTTGAGCTCATGCAACAAACAGTGCAGCATCAGCTTGAGGCAGCGCAACAACAGAGTCGGGAAGAATCCAGCCTCCAATACGCTGAATGGATCAGACAGGGTGAAACCAAAGGGCTCAAAGGTCTTTTCAGATTACTGAAGGCCAATGAACTGTCTTGGCAACGGCCCTACAGGAACATTCCCATGGCTGACCGCATGAGGCACAGGATGCAAGATTGGCACAAGCTCTGGAAACCCACCAGAGATGACCAACCTATGACCCGGCTACCACTACAGGACCAGGCCAAGCAGCAAGCAGCCGAACTCCCACTTTCGAGCGGCTGGGAAAGACCTTGCGACACCTCCCTGACAAAGCCTGCGGACCAGACGCCATCACAACACAGATGCTGCGCACTGCACCGAAACAAGCCCTCCAACCATTGCTGAGCATCCTGCAGACTATGGAGGCTAGAGCCGAACTCCCAACACAGCTCACTTTGAGCTTGGTCGTCACGCTGGCAAAAAACGAGAGGGTGGAACGCCCATCACACTGACAAGTGTACTGTACCGGGTTTGGTGCAAGATGAGAAAACCAATCCTGGACGAGTGGCAACGCACACTCCCACCATCGATGGACTATGATCGAGCCAGACCTGGTGCTACAGCTCTTCATGTAGCCCTTGAACGTCTCCTACGCCAGGAAACTGCCAAATCTCTTGAGAGGCATGGAGTCACGGTGCTGTTGGACATGAGCACCTTCTACGACACCCTGGACCTGCAAAAGCTGCAACAAACAGCTCAAGACCTCAACTACCCGCCATTAGCCCTGGAGTTTGCCATGCAGGTCTATACAGGCCACAAAGCAATTCTCGCAGAAGGCGAGCTTCCATGTGACAACCGGAGTTGCAGCGGGCTGCCCACAGGCGCCACTGCTGGCCAAGACCTTCCTCCAGCCCATCCTCCACAGTTTCCAACAAGCATTTCCTGACCTGCACTTGAATGGATGGGTTGATGACATTGGCTTCGACGGCAGTCACACAAACCCCCAACACCTGGCTCAACGAACCATACAAGAAGCTTGGACCCAGCTGCGTGATCACTTGACAGAAGCAGGCTTGCTTGTCAACAGCCAAAAAACGGCTTTCATCGTCACCGACAAACACATCCATCGGGAGCTGAGCAAACTTCTTGGACCACAAGACCCGCCAATCCAGTCCGTGATGAGGGATCTAGGCATTGACCACGCAGCCAGTCGCAGGCGCAGAATCACCACCCTGCAGCAAAGATTCCGCAAGAACAAACAGAGGCGGATCAAGCTAAGGAGCCTTAAGTTACCAAACCTACGCACCCGACTCCGCCTGCATAGAGGGGGCGTCCAGCCAGTGGCATTCTGGGGTTTTGAAGGGCAGGGGTTAGCGCCCAGGTACCGATTGGCACTACGACAAGGGCTAGCAACACACTTAGGTTTGCACCAAGGAGGCCTCCAAGACATCATCTACGATCAAGTCAGCCAAAAGTTTGGAGATCCTGGAGACCAGGTGATCTTCCACCATATCAGAGCCCTCCACACTCTCCTCAACAACTGGCCGGCTGATCACATCCAACATGTGGAACAAGCATGGATCACCATCCGAAACCAGCTACGCAAACAGCAGCATCAGTGGTACCACGTCAAGGGGCCCCAGCAGCCACTTTGGCTTACCTCCACGACCACTGATACCCTTCATCAGTGGCGCCGCCACGAAACGGCATTCATGACCGAGGCCCACATCAACCTACAGGACGACTGGGCCACCATCGAACAAACACTACATCAGGAAGCCCAACAGCAACGCACCAGCCGCATTGCTAGCCGGAAGAACTGCCAAAACCTGGTCAGTGGGCTCGACTGGACAGCGGCCAAAAAGGCAGCCAAAGTGCTCACCAAACAGCAGCTTCAACACATGAAAACATGGACTCAAGCCGCCATCCATTTTCGAGAGGGCGACAAAATCAAGCCCTGCCCAATATGCAGGGCCCCTGCCACTCCAAAGCACATTGTGTGGCTTTGCACTTGGCACCACAATCAGGGACACGAACCACTGGCCATTGAATGGACGGAGAGGCTACAAGACCCCCTGGAAGAACCCTTGTGGGCCCATGGCTGGGTCCCCAAAGAGCCGCAAGGCCATTTGCAAGTGCCACAACCGCTGCAAGGCCACGGCTGCTGGAACACGATGGAACCGTTGACCCTTCAACCATGGCAAGGGCTTGCAGTAACGCTGGACGCCACCCCGTCCTCCTACGACCAACGATCCCAGGCCTGGATCTTCGCCCTTTGCGTACACACCTTCTCCATGGGCACTTTGCTGCGGAAAGGCGCCATCACGGGCATGGCAGACCAAAGCCCGCGCATTGTTCCAGGGACTCATCACCTTGGCCCAATATGTCCTCACACCGACCAATGTGATCGTCCAGCTGGGATCGGTTTGGGAAGCCTGGACCAACCCACGAAAGAGGAAGGGATTTGAAGACCTGGTCAAAGGCTTTGACGAACACCTCTTCCAGCGCCCTTATACATCCACAAAAACCAGCGATCCCCCGATACTCCTGGAAATGAACCTCATCTCCGAAGAAAACAGAGAGATGCAGCCCTGGCAGCCTATGAAAGAGCCACCACCCTGTATGACCGCCAGGCCGAAGACTGGCAGAAAACTCTCCAGGATCATGTGAAGATCTACAAACATGCCGCTGCCAGGCTCGAAAAGATCTACAAAGATCCCCAACACTACATCCACGACAAACCAGTCCGCCGTGCGGGCCCTACCACCAAACAATACAAGAAGCGGCCCATCAACCAGTGCAAAGCTCCATGGCAACCCAACAAGCACCAATGGGTCCCACATCGGAGTGGATATCAATGTCAAACATGCCACACCCGCGTGCATCAGGCCCTCACCGTTGAGATCATTGAGAACCACCTCCAACAGGACTGTGAACTCCTGACCCATGAGGCACCAGAACCAGATCTCAGGCCTGATAAACCAGTGGGCCAAAAGATCACCAGGGCCACCACCATTAAGAGGTTACCTGAACTTCAGCTGCAACATCCACAGGCGGCTGATGAGCACACCTTCCAAGAGACCACAGGGTACCTCAAGTGCGCCAAATGCAACCTCTCCGTTCACAAACGAACCAACGAGGAGAGCTTCCAGACCTTCATCCAAAGCAGGTGCATTGATGAAAGCTACAGCAAAGGCCACGGTGGTCACTCCAGCCACACTCTGTGGCAAAAGGGCAAGGGCATCAAATGCCTCAACTGTGGCACGCAGAGCCACCTCGATGCTGATGATCGAGTGATCTTGACAAAGGCACTCACCAGGGAGTACCAAGGAAACACACAAAGGTCTCCGACCTTACCCCAGCTTTTCGCATCACAAGCCTCAGTCAGCCAGGCTACACCGCCTGATGGCCCTCCAGAGGTCACACACACCGGCCATGAAACCCAGCCAGTGCCGACCACACCACCGACCGGCGCTGACCACCAAGCAGTGCCATCTCCACCGGCACCAAAAAAGCTACGGTTCTCGCAGGTTGCTTCACCTGCTGAAGCTACGGCAGCCGAAGCAGAGGAGGAGGAGATGGCGGTCGACTTTTTCTGGAGCGCCACATGAGGCAAAGACCTAGCTGACCGGCAAAGACCGCCAACAAGCACAACTCCAGGAAAAAAAATACATACATGGCTCAAGCCGTCAGGCGGCCCTTCAAGACCTGCAGGTGCGGACATCCTCAGACGAACATACGTCTGCGCCTTGAGGACTGATCGCGAGGAACACACTGCCCATTTGCACTCCTTTCAGGTCACTCTTGGTTCCTCCCTGATCCAGGACAATGAGGGAACACGCTGCCGATGCGGCCAATGGTGGAAGACAGCCAACAAGCCGGCAGGCAAAGGCAAAGGGTACTCCAAGCAGCCCTCTCCACCACGGGGCGCAGGCAAGGTCTCATGAGCCCTGGCCCCAGGGCTCACCAAATTCTGGCTCCTAAAGAAGCCTTGGCCAACACCTCATGGACGACAAGCTTGTCCTAGCCAATCACATCAAGAGAGACACTCACAAAAGGCACTTGCTATCCTGGTCTACAGAGGCTTGATGCGGATGGCTGATGATGGGCGTGTGGTGACGGTGTTGCCCCCCCAAAAGGCTTTTCCCGAGCCCAACCGTGGGCGACGCAGCCAGTCGCATAGAAAAAAGACACCAGGCACATGGCCTGCGACCAGGGCACAGACGGAGATGATCTCATGGAGGTAAGATTGCTTCTGAGCCGAAAGGGCTTACTACACGGTGAGGCCACTGAGCCTAGCAACCCGGCCAAGGGGCCACAGACACCATGCGACAGAAAGACGCCTTAGGAAAAATACATTGACATACATACACACACACATACATACATACATACCTACCTACCTACATACATACATACATACATACATACACACATTACATCCACCAAAAGGCTCCAAGGCATCAGGGTAAGCATACCAAACAGCACAAGCGTGACCTGGTGAAGCAATGTACGAAAGCCTGGACTGAAAACCATCACAGGTGGGAGCCTCACAGAAGCGGGTACCAATGCACCGCGTGTGGCACAAGAATGCATCAAGGCTTGACCACAAGCATCCTCGAAAGCCGGCTTCAAGAGAATTGTCCTCAGGTCCTCATTGAAGATGCTTGCTATACGCCACCAACCCAGGCAGAACCCTTGGCCAAGAAAACCACCAGGGCCCAGGTCATCAAGGACTCAAGGACCTGCTACACCAGCAGCAGCAGCAAGCACCAACACCAGAAGAGTTGCTGAGACCACGGGCTACCTCAAGTGCACTAAATGTGGCATCAACATCCACAAACGTGTCAATGAAGCAGCCTTCCGGCAGTTCATCACCAGCCACTGTGTAGATCAGGCCTACACCCAGGCTCATCCAGGGCACTCCACCCATAGCCTTTGGCGAAAAGGTGATCGAGTCCGCTGCACACAATGCGGAATCCAATGGCATCTTGATGGAGAAAAACGCATCATCACTACGCAGGCTCTCACAAAGCTTGCAAAGGAGCAGGACTGAAAGGATCCCCACCTCTCAGCGAATTCTTCAAGAAGAAAAGTGAAGCAGCTAGTTCCTCTGCAGAAGAGCACCAACCTCCCCTGCAAACAACTGAGCAGGTACAGCCGGTTTCCACCAGGCCCGCACCTAGAAGGCTGCACTTTCCTACGGAACTTGATGAACGAGATGAGGTGCACTCCAACTCGAGCCAATCAGCAGAAGCAAGTCCACTCATGGTCGACTTTTTCTGAGAGCCTACAACACTGAGGCAAAGACCTAGAACCTGGCCAAGCGTGCCACTGAAGCATACTCAACTCTAGGAAAATACATACAATACATACAATACAATACAATACAATACAATCAATACATACATACATACATACACACATACATACATACATACATACACACACACACATACATACATACACACATACACACATGCACACACACATGCACACACACACATACATACATACACACATATACATACAGTACACACACATACATACACACACATACATACATACACACATTCATTCATACATACACATACACATACACATACACACATACATACGTACATATATACACATACATACACATACACATACATACACACACACATACATACATACATGCAAACATACATGCACGCGTACATATACATACGTGCAAACATACATGCATACCTACCTACCTATTTAATATACACACACACACTTTTGGCAGACTCAGGAACACAGAATTTCTGGAAAAGAACGGCCTCACGCCGAAGAATGTGCTTCTGGGCATGCACAATGAAGGCTTGGCGGCTGATATTGTGCCCCATGGCCAATGCAACAAATTGACGTTGCCACTGAAGGGGGAGAACCCCAAATTGATTTGACGAGTCGTGTCAAGTCATTGTGACTAAGAAATAACTGATGTCATAGTCACAGCCCAAGTCAGACCAAGTCATGGCCTGATGTGCTTCGAGGTTGGAGTACTTCTACACATCGCCCTTTTATCTTCACTTTGGCGAGGGGTCGCTGAATGAACAACGGCGGCGTGGTTTGCAGGTGGAGGCGGCCACACAATTCTCAACATGGTGAAGTTTGGATCTACCTGGCCTTTGCCAACCTTCATCGTTTTAGCTGCAGCTACGTCTAAGTCCAACTTCGAGGGCCTGTCAAGATCATAGTCATAGGGAGACTGGATGCTGGCACTACGTTGGAAACGTCTTTCCGCAGAAATGTGGTCAGGAAACCATGCCCCGTGGCAGAGTGATATGATGTGGCCCCTGGCAGCTTATCATTCTAAAGGGTTGCCTGGAGTAAAGGGTTGCCTGGAGGGGGCGCATTGACAGCTGATAGCGCAAGGTTGGGAGACGGTAGGGCCTCCTGTATAGCCATACTTTGCCACTACAATACTCGGGCGCCCAAACAATAGCGTGTACCCTGCACAGCCTGTACATCCTGCACATGGCCTTACTCTAGGAACCCTTTCCCATGTACCTTTCAAGTGTGTCAGGCACAGGCAGGAAGCCACGAATTTGTCCTGCGAACGGCCAACGAGGATGCCAAAGCAGGCAGGGCTGTGCCAATTCCTAACTTAGGGGTTAAGTAGTTTCTTTGGTTGGTTTAATGCAATTTGCTATAACTTGATTAACGCTTCTTGAAATACTTTGGCAGATTCTGATCACGAAAGGTTGCCTGGTAAGGGCTACTAGCTTGAACAGCTTGCTCGGGACCAAATATTGATATATCAATTCTATTGACCCCCCCCTCTAATGTGATGAATCATTGATTAACCAATTATTTTGGTGACCCCTCCCGCCGGCACCACTCGCATCACCTACCATAGCGTGTCCAGTCCATTCACTGGCAGCAACAGCAGTGCCCCTACAATGAGGTTGCGCAACACGGCTTCGACGCAGTGCATGCACACCTGTGGTCTTTACAAGCCGCGTGCAGCTATGGGACCACAGCTCTTACACATGCCAGCGTTTGAAGCCGCAACTTTTATGCACCCCAGCGTTCACACACCATATCGCTCTACACTAACTAATTATAGCGTTGACGCAACACAGCCTCTACGCAAAGCCGTGTTGACAAACCTCACCACGCCGAAACCTTTATGCACGCGACATAGGACCGCATTTGTGCGGCACAGTTTTGGCACCAGGCAGCTTTTACAAACCACAGCTGTTACACAGCCCTGTTGCGTTCAGATACTGCGGCTTTCGTATATTCCTGGTGACTCTCTACCTTTCGTGTTTCCCTGTCTCAAGTGCAATAATTTGGTCGGACTCTTGCTTGTTCTTTGCTTCAGCTTCCTTGTGCGTCCGGGATGTTCTTTGACTAGGTGTTGTAGAGACCAGCATTTTCGTGCTCCAACGGCTCCAGCATCCGGCAACATCCAAAGAGACCTTCTACGTGATTTCAGGCCGACACTTCGGAGATGAAACTGACGTTTTACTTAACCGAACCTTAACCTGCTTGAGATCCTTTGTTGGTGACTATTGACGACTACTGGCCCTGACTGTTCATTTTGGGGTCCCCATATTGGGGGTGTAACAAGAATCAAGAATGATGAGCACTACAGTAAGAAGATGCTTATTCAGCCTCCAGCCTGTAGGGTCATTGAGGCTTTGACATGCTGCCAAGCTCCTGAGCAGGTATGGAAACGGATGCGCATTTTGTATGGCCGTCATCTTACACTCACCAAGAAAACACGTCTGGGATCCACTGCAGAGGCACGATCTACAAAGCTCCTGAACTGTCAGAACTGTTGAAGAGCAGCATTGGTCAATCGGCCATCGGGGCCACCAGCAGCTTGGCTTTCGGATGCTTTGAGACAAAGAACCACCGGAGAATCTACGGTTGAACTGTGTTGAGCGAGTTTTGAGGGTGTCCACTGTTGACATCAGAAGAAACATTGCAAGCTGCACGGCTATTGTCTTTTTTTTCTGGCTGCTGAGTCACTGGTGAGGGTATAAAACTTGCGACCTTGGGCATGTCTTGAGCAAAGATATCAGAATAATTGGACTCAACGGGTCCGTTGGAATGATCGTGATGCCATGTGCCACATGCCTTCTTATTTGGAGGTTCTGAAGGAGCAGGACGGCATGCCCACCTGAGGTATTTTGAAGAAACAGCTGGAAGCCATGTGCATGCCTGAAGCTGAACGGCCTGGCACTTGGATGAGATACGCGCAGCGTGTGGGGATTCAGTTCCAGGTTTGGAGCCGAAACAAGAAGAAAGACAGGGGAAGAACGACTGTCACTCGAATTTGCAAGGATTTGTCATACTAATTATACGTCTTCCAAAGGTGGGTGGATGTGGGTGGTGGATATGCCAGTGATCCACCAGCTCGGTTCGATCATGTTCGATCTGGATGGGTTCGCCACAAGGCCAGGGCCAGCCACCACCGAGTGGCCGCCCTGGTGCCAATTTGAGACCCGGCCGGTCCCTGCAGCTTGGTGTGCTCCCATCGGGGTGGACGAAAAGTTCCGGAGCGAAACAAAGGTGACGTGAAATCTTTGTTTGGAGACATGATGAGAATTGTTGAGACATGCATGGCCACTTGCATGGCCTCTGTGTCAGAGATGGAAGAACTCGAGGAGCAACTCCCGCTGGTTGACTCACTTATTTTCAGTGTGACAGAGGTGTGGAAGAACCCTGAGCTGGGAGACAGCCGTCATGATGATGAGAATGATGAAGGACCGGTTGGGACACCGAGAGCATCTTCATTCAACTGACCACATGACCCTGGTCACCGGCTCAGTTCCCGGAACGAACCCAGCCGTGGTGACCAGGGTCATGTGCGAGCATCGAAGCTGGTAGGACCGAAGCCTTCAACCAGATGCCGTGTGCATCAACGCAGCTCTGTCATCTCTGGGGACTGCTCCTCAGAGCTCAAAACGTGACAGCTGAGCTCGGGGTGGGCTGGTAGTCGTTTTGGAAGTGCAAACTGACAGGGCTTCTGGGCAGTGGCACCTTGTTGCAGCCTTGGAGGGCGCCTTCACTTTGGGAAGAATAACGCTGCCACTGCGACCAAGGCATTACATGTTTTTGATGAAGTTAAGCGAATGGCACAGTTGGCTCAACGCTGAGAGTCCAGCCAATGGCCAACTCTTCACCACTGAGAGACACTTAGGATACATCAGCACATTCAAACCAAAACACAAATCAATAGAATGCAACAACATTAAAACACGTGGTTTTGCTATCCATTTTGCTTCGTTGTTATGCTTTGCTACGATGTGTTGAGCTGCTGGGCTCTCGAGGCTTTGAGCAGAGGCCGGAGCCTTGGCAAGCACTGGACCGTCCACGAACCCACAACTTACGCTGTTCCGCTCCTGGTCTTCAGGATCGCCTGCAGCACGTCTTCTTGATGTGAGGGCCTGGATGATGAGTCGTGGCTCATGAGAATGCAGATGGATGGCTGTCACAGTGCTCCAGTATCAACGAAACCTTCGTGAGGTGGGTGTGGTGAACACAGCTATTGGCTCAGCCTTGCTTGCAGAACATGCCTTGAGAGGTCTCATGATTGTTTTGGCAGTGTCATGCATTGCTAGCGGCTGGTCATCAGGCCGCAAATGCTTGTGAGAGGTCGTCTCAATGGCGCACTGTGGGACCCTGAGTCCGATCAGGCCCTGAAGACCTAGAAAGCACACACACACCGCAGCTACCTACTGTGTACAAAACAGTTTGCGCGTCGGACGCTCCCTGCGTGAGACTGTAAGACTATGAGAATCAAGTCTCAAGGATAATCAACCCGGACCACTCGTGACGATATAATCATACGTAGACATTTTGCAAACCGCAGAGGCACTCAAACTCTTTCACGAGCTTTGCTCCAGATCCATGGGTCTTGGAATCAGCCGCAGACCAAGTTGAATAGCTGGATGTTATCCTGTGGAAGCTAGAGCAGCCGGCTAGTTTGAGTTCTAGGAAAAGTCATGAGCATTCCCACTTCCGCACAAAGGACCAGACACAGTCACTTTCAACGTTGCCATCTCCAGTTGGGGACAAGGCGTTGGCCTTTGTCAGAAGAAAAGACCATGATCTCCATCTTGGGCTCGGATTTCATCGGTTTTGAAGCGATTTACTGTAATTTCCCATGCCCGACACGATCGGATAACATCTGGTGCTTTGTATTTTGTCCGGTGGCTGGACCTACACTGGAGTCTCCTCCCTTGAAGGTCTACACTGGAAGCATGCCTTGAAGATTCTGGTCCTTCTCCAAGAGCCGATTCAACCGATTACGGGTTGCAGCATGTTGCAGCCAGTATTTATTTGTTGGATCTTGGCCCCATCTGTACAATGTCTACTTGCAAGCTCCAGTTTTTTGGTGGAACAGCTCAACAGGCCTCGGTGACTAGCATGGAGCCCCTAGTAGCTTCTTGCTCCTAGTAGTAAGGCCAGGAGCCCCTAGTTCCTAGTAGCGATTCCCTTTGCTCCATTTTGCTCCTAGTAGCTTCCCCTTCTCTTGTCGTTTTGGAGCAAGCCCAGTTCCCACTGACCTTGTGGCTCGGGACTGACCTTGTGGGGCCGACTCTTTCCGCAGCTGTGGCTCAGACCTGGGCCGAGCAGCGCGTGGAGCCACTCGGGTCGCTCCGCGGGTTTCCCAAGCCTAAGCAACCTCCAAGCTTCTTGGAAGTCTTTGAAGTCTCCAAGTCCAAATCCCAAGACATGAAACACTGGTCCGAAAGAGGTTGCACAGGTCTTGCTCCTGTCTCACACGCCTAGAGAGCCGAGCCTTTGGTGACTCGGCCAGCTGTGAAGTGGACTCCCTGGCGCAGGATCACCAGGAGTAGGTAGTTCATGCATGTTCATGCAATCTTGGCTCAAAAGATTTCCAAGGCCACGGTCAGGGTGGGTTTGCTAGTTTCAGTTTCCAAGATGGTGCAAGACTATGCAAGACTGACGCCAAGGCTCCGGCCAAGCCGAGCATGGACGGCTCTGGATACCCTGAGCTTAAAGACATGTCTGATGCGGTGTCCTACGCCGATGCGGCTCCTCAGCTCAAGCCGGAATTATGTATATAGACGATACTGTATTAGAGCTTGTTGGAATTAGAGTAAGTGCCTTCCACCTATGTAACATTTTATGACATTTCATTATGATCAATGGCAATCCAACATGCATTCCTACCTCAAGTGGCCTCTTGATCTGGGGTGAACTCTAAGGTGGCAAAGAGCCGGGCTCCCAGCGTTGTCGACGGACCATGGCATACGTCGCCGCCACATCCAGCGCCGCATCGACGGACCGAGGTATGCAGCTTCTCCTGAATTCGCTGGAGCGGCGTTTTGAGGAGATTCGGATGCGGCGTAGAACGCATACCAACAACCATAGCGTAACTAACGATCCATTGAGTATAGCATACAGGCATACAGGCACACATACCGTAAACATTGATATGGTTGAATGCATGTTCTCGTGCTCCTACTAGGTCCTACTAGCAACCTCAAAGCTGTGCCTCAAGCGAGGAGATGGCAACGACGGGGAAGCTGGCATGGCCAAAGGACAGATCTATCCATCGGTGGAAAGGGAGCATCGTTCTTTCTGGAAAACGTGGACTAAATCAGGAGATACTAGGAGCATTTCCCTTGCGCAATCACCCGGCCATGATGACCAACTTCTACGATTTGCTCCTGAGTTTCCGGTCATTCCTGATGCTTGCCAAATGGGCGTCACAGGATATCACAAGCCATTTGGTTCCATTTGGGCAGGAGCTTGGCCAGTCCACAGACCAGCTGAAAATCTTGCTGGGAAAGGTGGAGGGCCAGCTGACGCGTATGAAAGCCGAAGGCCATAGTGGTCGAAGAGTGACACAATTTGAGTGAACAAACATCCGAAGGCAAACTAGCATCCGAGTCTAGAGCTCCATTGGGTACCTTCTCAATGCTTATTGTCCTCTCAGGCACTTTCGGCCAAGAGCGGAAAAAGACCAACGGCACTGGAAATCAAGGACGGGAGACAGCAGGAGTTTGTGGCCAAACAGGATGTTCGAGTCCTTTCCTCTCAAGCCTTTGCCTTGGAGGAAATGAGAAGTCTTTGGAAGCTGAAGGGGTGCTGAGTGCTGACAAGGAGCTGATTTGTGCAGATGCACATCTAAAACTTTCAAGACTCAGACATGCGTAGCTTCTCAAAGACTCAACAGTAGACTCGACATATGATATCAGATATGATATGATCGTTTTAATTCATTTATCATGGGTTCCCCATGATGTGGACAGGCCATCAACGGGTCGACACAGAAGTAGCGTAAATGATTTGCGTTGCCTGTGCACTTAGTCTGTCAGCGCCGGTGATGTCACCAGTGCCGCCTGCAAAGCAGGCCTCTGACATGCTTGAAGCTGTTAGCGAGCAAGATGTTGTTCCCGAGGTCCTAGGCGGGATGGAGCACTTTTCAGCAGCGTTGTGTAATTAGTTGTGTGGTACCTGTGATACTTTGATGTGCGACCTCGGCCTGATGCGTAGGCAAGCCCGCAGATGGAGACGCCTTCAAAGCAAGCATTGGTCCCAGTGTGCTTGATGGTGAGACCCGGCCATGTGAAGGGTCGTGAAGTTTCCGAAAGTTTCTCTCTGCCCATGCTCCACACAAGGTCATGTGTTTGCTTGGCTGCCCAGGCTCCATGAAGGGAGAGCGTATCAACCTGAGACAACGAGAAGGTGAGGATAGCACCTTGTCAGCATGGAGCCCAACAAGTCTCAAGGTAGTACCCCTGAAAGATGCACCCCTGGGGCTGGAAGGCTGTTTCAACGGCTCTCGGTACTGTACTGGTGTTCTTGGTTGGCTGAGGTAGGCAGGAACACCAACCCTCTCTCCCACCTAACAAAACTACATAGATTTGGCATGATTTGGCTATGGCATGATTTGGCCTTGTTCAGTCGGAGCAGCGTGCTGGCTGTTTGGAGCTGGCCGCTCCCAGCATTCTTCAGGTAGAGCAGCAAGGATTCAATTCAAGTCAACAATGTTTTGAGCAAGATATCGCTCGGTTAAAAGATGCTACTCGTAGATGTTTCTTGCTCGCTTCTCAGATGCAGGCCAGCAGCAAGGATGTCTAGCAATGCCGGGCGTGTCGGGCCCCAAGTCAGGGGGTGCAGGTTTGGAATGGAATGGTTGAGAGGAGGATACCCATGGGTACTTAGATAAGAGTGCGTGTCAATGTCTGAGTCTATGTCTATGCATGTGCAGTATTCGGTATGTCCCTGACAGACCGGTAGCGCATTCGTGTGCAATCTCACGAATGCATGCCAGTGCTTCAAGGAGCATGTCTCAACATGTTAGACTTGCAACAGAGGTGACAAGGCAAAGCCGTGGAAATTGAGCATGTTTCTTTTGTCAGCGTTGAATGTGCGGTCCATATGTATCACATATTCATATTCACATAAATTCTGTACCGCATCATCATCAATGCCCGCCTACCAGAACGAATATGCAAGTGAGACTGTTCAGGTCATTGGTTTGCCCTGGTGTCTTCGGTGCTGCCCGGAGCATGCAACTGCAATCACGAGTTCGGGCCGGCCGAGTATCCGACTCCGATTCCGAATGGTCCGAGCACGTCGATCCAACCACAGGACAGGTGGTGTCAACCTGACTTTCGGTTGTTTTCTTCTACGTAGCCATGGTCTAAGCGTTTCAGCTATGAAGAGATGCACTTCCGGGACGTAGCCTCTGATGAATGTCTGGCACGGTGCTTTCGGGTAGATGCTGGCCCGGTGCATCGGACCCCATCATGCCTCGGCAGAACTCAGAATGAGAACCCAGCAGTCAGCACGATCATTCAGCAGGTTGCGGAGAAAGTGTCTCATATCCGTCCTCCCTGGATCTTCCGGATGCCTCCTGGCAGGACTGACCTTCTACCACAACAAGAAGACGAAAGTCTCCAGTTGGACCAAGCCTGGGGAAGATTCAGAGGCCGAGGTGGCTGAGGCTTCTTTGGACCCGAGCTTGGTGGAGGTCGAAGAAGAGGCCTCAGCGGAGATATGAGATGAGAGGGGCATACTATGGTTACGAGATGCGCGCACTTGCACCTTCTACTGTAGAGATCTTGCATCTTGATGCGTCTTGCAATCATGTGCATGTGAAGCATGTGACACATGTGCATGTCCACATAGTCCAACCGCACACGTTGCTTGCAACTCATCCTCACGTTGCCGTGAACTTGAGTCCTCTGCAGGTGCCTGTCGAGGTCCTCACGTCCACGAAAGTCTCCAGAGGCTTGTCTTCCAAGAGCTTGAGAGGACTGGTTTGTGCGTTCGGGTTTTTGCTGCTTTCGCCTCGCGTTCGCCTCGCGACACTTGTGCATCCGACCAGACATGGGCAGGCAGAGGTGACGTGATCCCTAACAGGCCCTAACACTTGACCCTGCAATTGAAGATTGAAGTTGGTTGGATACATGATTGATGCCCCTTCACAAAGCCAACTTTGAGAATGATTCATTGAAAGAAAAAACGACTCGATGACGCCAGCCATGCAGGACACATGCAGGAGAGGAACCGGCACGCTGGAGGCGCGGCAGACAAGCCAGTGTGAAAGATGGTTGTGAACGGACCTGCCCCACTTTACATTTGCGTGTTCAGATGTACTGAAGTGTGCCATAGCGTGTCCAAGGCTTCTTTGTGTTTTGCTTTCTGTTGCCAGCGTACCACAGCCGAGGCTCCTTGAAGCCTGATGCACCTTGCTTGCACTGTAACAGTTTAGGGCAGGTCTTTGCCAAGAGGCGTTGCCATTTTTATGAGGTGGTCAGCTTTGGAAGTTTGGGATGAGAATTTATCAGTTTCTTTTGGGTGGCAAGGCTCATATGGATTTACAGTATAATGACTTACACACACACACACACATATATATATATATTAATATATAAATATATATATATATTTATACAATATATTATACGGGCTTTTTGTATCCTACTTGTACATAGCGCTTGGATATAATGACCTCATCCCAACACCGACATGTGTTCTTGACGTGACTGAGCTGTGGAAAGCCAGGTCGGACATCACCACAGAAGCTGCTGAGCTAAATTAGAAATAGTCCCTTTCTGCGGATCCAGGAAACCTTGCCTCAGAAGCGCTGCTTGAACGTCTTGGTGGATTTGCTGGGGCACTTGATAGTTCAAACATGTTCAAAGGGGGGCTACGCAGTATGAAGCAAAGAACATCAACCAATACTAGAGTCACTAGAGATTGGTAGTAGTAGTGATGGTGCGGATGCTGGTGCTG